GCACCTTGGACGTTTGACCCCGTCCAAAGGACGTATGATCCGATGAACTGGACACCGGCCCCCAATGGATTGAGGCTTTCACACACGCCGTGCTGCCTTGCTGGTCAGGTTTTGGCTAGCCAAAGGCTCCGGTTGTGGATTCTTCAAGAAAATTCACCTGCCTTGGCCTGATCAACCTGGTGGTACTCTGCTAACATACATACCCTGGAACGTTTTTCTTTCTTTTATAAAGATTATTATACCATGGTTTTTTGGAACACAGTTTGGCCTCAGACAAGTGTGAGATACAAATTAATATAATAATAGCGAAACCAGACCATTTTACATCTGCGATCATCATGCGCATAAAACGACCCTTCGTTGTTGCACCACATTCATACGTAGCTGTTAGACAGGAATCTAGAGGAGGGGGCACAATGCCTAAGTTAATTTCTCCCTACCTCGAAACCCCTTGTTCTGATTTTCCCAATCCACAGGACTATCGACAAACTCTTCTCGCTGCATTACAAAAACTCTGTAACGAGGACGGGTCAGCCAATGCTGACATGAATTTCGCCTGGCGTGTCACACAGTTCGACATGACAACACCGAATCCGTTTGGCGTTCTGTACAAACCACGTGCGTTTCTTTACATTTTCAACTGAAGCGTAGCAATATAAGAGGTGGTCTAAAAGGTCCTAAGATCGAAGACAGTACATGATAATGATGAGATGAACGCTCTGACTGCAAAATAGCGAATTGACGTTTATCCTTTTTCTGAATCAATCGATAATTGTGTTTGTTGGACGATGGCGCGACGAAAATTTTATCATAAGCATAATTGGCAATAGGTTAAACTATACAATGAAGCTTCAATGAGAATACACCTGCGGGACCTTCCGTACTATTGTATGAAGCCACAGTCAACATAGTTCAACCCTCTTCATTTTGATTAGTTACAGAGTGCGGCTAAATCGGATGTAGAGTCAGAGTTTATGTGCTCGCAGTAGCGCGTACATGGACGCACACAAACACAACGATTTGCGATACACATGCTAGGGATGAAGATAAATCGGTTACGGGATAACAACAAGCTATTAGTCAGTCAAATCAACAGTCTACACACAAAGCAGAACATGCATAGCATTTAATTGGAATTCCTTTAAATGATCGATATTCGATGTTTCAAACCGTCTACAGTGGCAGTATAAATGGACCCTGGATCGGAAGGATATGATAAGCGGTCTGTTGGGAGTAACAACATATTACTTTCTAACATTTGTTCACTTATTTACATGTAAGGTATTCGACCTCCGAAAAGGAAAAGTCATCTGAATATCTAAATTAAGATTAAATTTGTATTTTATGATGCATGAAACCTTATCTCAATGCTATTATGGAATTCAAACGCAAAAGAAAAATCAGTTCTGGATAGTCGTCAGCACTTATACCTGACAAACGATCCTAGATCACCTGGTCGTTGTATGCTTTAACCGAGATTGAAGGTGTAGGTTGGTTGACTGTAGTGCTCTGTTGCCTTACTGTAGTAATTGTAGTAATATTAGTACACACTTAACACGAAATACGAATCAGGGAATAGGAATCACGGGTGAGGCGTAAGCACTTGCACGCCAAATCCCAAGTAACCGAGACGCGAAGAAAATGCTACGGGATTAGTTGTTTGTTCACAGAAAGAAATTATGGGGATTAAATAATACTTACAAAACAAGCTCATGGTCATCGAGGCCTCTGCCAATCGTGTTCTAGTATTTTTGGCGATGTCCAGCTTCTATCTGGACCCTACGGTTTCTGACTGGCC